TCCACAAAAATGGAACAGTTCTTCAAATATTATAACATAAAGCATGTCACAGGTATACCACACAATCCTACAGGACAAGCAGTTGTTGAAAGATCTAATAGAACGCTTAAGGAGATGCTCCATAGACAGGCTGGTAAGTCAAAACCCCCCAAACACAGGTTGCATAATGCTCTATTGACACTAAACTTTCTTAATGCCAATGACAAAGGACAAACAGCTGTGGAAAGACACTGGACTATGGAAAAAATGTTGAACTAAATCAACCAGTGTACTTCAAAGATGTACTGACCTCAGTATGGAAACCTGGACATGTGTTACGTTGGGATAGGGGTTTTGCATTTGTTTCCACAGGAGAAGAAAAACTTTGGATACCATCAAAATTGATCAAGATTTGAGTTGAAAAAGACAACCCTCTCAACAAGGACAACTGACAGGTGTTTACTGAGGTATATCTCGTAAACTAAATGAAAGCCTCCCAAAAGAAAGGGAAGTGCTTTGTTCTTATCTTCACAGAAAAACTCATCTCCAGAAGTCAAAGGCCACTGCATGGGTAGATACTTAAAGAAACGAAGGTAGCTATAACCATCAAACAAAAGGAACGTACCATACGGTAAACTTTACAGCTGTCTCTCAAATAACTCTATTTCTCTTCATTTCCTAGTCCCTATTCAAGTAAATCAGTGCTGGATTTAGGGTTGGATTTGGCTTTCCTCCCCTAAAATCCAAGCATGTTGTTTAACTGAATTTTCGAGTTTCTGTGTTATATCAAGAAGCCAATTGATGTAATACAGAATAAATGAAGAATTGGAGGACTATCTTTTGTCTTTTCTTGGCTCTTTCTTTCAAGGCCTACACCCTCTCATAATTGTCGTTTTCCCATGGTTGCCTTTCCCAGCATACATACATATGCAAGCAAACATTTCTCTGCTGACTCTTATATTTGAGTCCCATACAGCCAATGAAGACCCGCCTGACAACAATCCCTGGATGCTCCGGAAAAGGAATTGGTCCATACCTCCTGGACTGCACTGGATTCAACTCACTCCGTTTCAACTGACACTCCGACCAGAACTTCGAGTACTGACTTCAATCAAGTTGAGAATTTCAACCTAGATCTTCAGTCAAGCAAATTCCATCTAACATGGACTGGAGATAACCCATTAGAGACTGTCACTATACTAACATTCCCCCCCACACACAGAACCCCTCAAGGCTAATCCCGTTTTAGCAGGAAGTAACTTAGAAGATGCTACGCCCCATTCCCATTTGTCTATTAGGGTTGTGTAAGCTAGTTAGGAATAACTTTCTTATTGTTTAGAGATGGGATTGGAAGGAGGTGTTCAAGTTGGACACCCTTTTCACATGACTTGAGGGCTTAGCTGGAATAGACTTAGTTAGGATGTGCCATAGCAGATTATTGTATCTTCTTGTATTTCACCTTTATGATTGTTAATTTTGGATGTTTTACACTATTAAGTTTTAATCCTCTTTTAGACTAAAAGGGGAATTGTAGGGAGACACTGTAGCCCCGCGTCCTAGGAGCTGGCTACAGGTGCTTGACTATACCTGTTAGGGTGTGGTCAGGGGAGGTTCAGGATGATGCGTGGGGAATTCTTAAGGGGGTGACAGACGTGGGAGCGCCTCTTCCTGGGCTCCCTAGCCTGCTGCCTCAGGGCACTCTCTCTCTGGCTTGTGTTTGGCTGGTGTTTATCTGAATAAAGACATCCTAACCCTTATATATGAGGGTCTAAGTTTGGTCTCCAGCATCTATGTATAAAAAGCTAGGCAAGCCAGGTATAGTGGCACACACCTTTAATCCCAACACTCGGGAGATAGAGGCAGATAGACCTCTATGAGTTTGAGGCCAGCCTGATCTACATAAAGAGTTCTAGGACAGCCAGGGCTATGTGTAGAGACCCTGCCTCCAAGCTCAACCTCCCCCAAAACAAGATACAGTGGAATGTACTTATAATCCCAGCACTGGGTAGGAAGAGACAATAAGATCCCTGGGGCTTGCTGGCCAGCCAGTCTAGGCTAATCAGAGAGTTTTCAGAAAACAAATCAAAACCAATAGCAAGGGAATGACATCCAAGGTTGACCTCTGGCTTCCGTGTGCATATGTGTACTCACATATATGAACACATGTACACACATACACATACACCTACACACAAGTATATTAAAGCTGACAAATTATAGAAGAGCCCTGCAGTGTGTATTTGGGGACAAGGGGATGCATTGGAAGCTGCCCACAGAAGAGTGGCCCATGCGGGTAGGACACATGGGGCAGAGAGAGGGGTCTCATCTTTTCTATCATGTTCCAATAACCCAGGTTACAATGATGAGACCATGTCTCAGCCATCATCCCAAGCTTGTGTTCGTGGGGAGAGCTGGGGCTTCTGTTTCTGTTCCCCTTGGGTTTAGGCTCCGCCCTGAGTCCTGCCAAGTGTGGACCTGGAAGGACAGGAGCATTTCCAAGTAGATCTCAGTCATCTGCTAAAACCGTGGGCAGTGTGGGGAAACCTAGTGCCAGAGAGGAATTTGCCAGTACCAAAATTTCCCAGATCCTGTAGCTAGGGACATCTGGCGCCCTTCTCTGGGTTACCCTAGCCCAGGGCAGACCACCCAGGGCTGCAACCCTGAAGGGAACAGGGTTATCCAAGCATGACCTCTGTGTCCCATAGGCCCTGTGTTGGCGACACCCAGAAAGACAGCTGTAACTGGGTATGTGAAGATGCCCTGAGAAGAAAGGAACCCAGGCACAAGCGGACTTGTGCAGCCTGTCCCTGCTGCCCACACAAGAGCCCTCAGAGGGTCGGTCCAATTCTCCATACCCCACACTCCACCTAATACCATGCCCTCTCCTCTGTGACAATCCAAACCAAGACATTCCCCCCTTAGTCACTTTCTCCAACTGTCCACCCTGCAGAGACTACGAGAACGGATCTGAAATCCTTGTGGCCCCAACCCCCAAGATCCCAGGGAGCCAGCAAGGGTGGCAGCATTTTGAATCTGTAGCTAGTAATGCCCTGTGTGTCTGTGTCTGTGTCTGCCCATGGACACTAACTACCCGGGCCAGCCTTGCCCCCACTGCTTACCTGCCACAGGACCCAGGCAATACACGTGGGTGTACTCCAGCAGCGTGTTTCCAGAGCAGTGGAATGTGACAGAGGCAGCCAGGGCAGGATTGAAGAAGGCAGATGTGTAGGGCCCAGCTGTGGACAGAAGCACAGAATTCTTATGGGCTGGCTGTGACCCAAGCTGCCATCTCTGAGACCACACTGCTAGACATGGAACTGGGCTCTTGGCACTAGGGGATTGGGGACAACTACCCTCCCTGTTGCATGCTGGTGAGCACAAAGGATCAAGGCTGGTGCGGCCAAGGCCAGAGGTCACAGGAGAGCAGCTGCGACCAGGGATGTCTGACACACTCCCCCATCCCTCACCCTGAGACTCCTGCATCAGGAGTCCTCTGATCCAACACCCCTCCCTACCTTCTGGGAGGTGGACCAGAGAGACACGGGGAGAGAGAGAGCATGGGATATGGGGAGGGAAAGAGAAAAGTTGGGGGCAGGGGTGGGAAACAGACACACCAAGACAGGGCCAGAGTCAGAGAGGGGATTAAAACAAAAACACAAAAATTAAATAAGGATGGGGGGAAGGGGACAAGACTGAGACAGGGAAGGTGAGATTAAAAACAGTGATAGTGACAGAGATGTCACTTTCAGGCCTTGGGAGAACTACAGAGAAGTTATCACCTGCTGAGTAGCCGCAGAGAGAAGCAGGGTGAGGGGAGCAATTGAGGCAGCTACAACCTTTCAGACCATGCCAGGAAGCTGGACAATGGCAGAGGGCAGGCAGAGCAGAGCCAAGCCTGGGCCTTAGGCAAAGCAAGTGCTGTGTGGGCCTAGACCTGGGTGCAGGACACGGGTGCTCTCCTGTGGGAGGTGGGAACCCTCCCACAGCGCAGGGCACAGCCCTATTCATTCTGCTGTAGGCCACCACCCTCCCACATTCTCTACACTTCTGGCCTCAGTTTATCCCATCTGATCAGGGTGCTGGAGGTCCTTCCTGTGGTCTTGCTAGCTTGGGTCACCAAGTCTTGGGCTGGCTTGGCTCGGCATTTGGCTTGTGCTGTTTCTGCTTCCTGGGCTCTTGGTCTCCTGGAAGGAGCCTTTGGAAACCGCAGCTCTGGTGCTGGAGAGATGGCTCAGTGGTTAAGAACACTGCCTGCTCTTCCAGAGGTCCTGAGTTCAATTCCCAGCAACCACATGGTGGCTCACAGCCATCTGTAGTGAGATCTGGCGCCCTCTTCTGGCCAAACATCCACAGAGCCCACAGCTCTCAGGAGCATCTGGTCAGTAGCCTGCAGTGCTGCCTGTCCTGGGAATCCCATCTAGGCATGCCTCCCTCCAGGTGGATCCCAGGGCTGATCATGGGATGCATCACCCCTTTTGGTGTGTTTGGGGGCTCAGGGGCATTCAAAGCACAGCTGGAACCAAGCCTTAAACTGCCTAGATGCTCCAGCTGCCCCAGATGTAATCAACACTGCATCTAGGAATTGCAGAAAGATATACGGTACAGGACTCCCCTGGACACAAACCCAGGTCTAGCCTTCCAGTCCCTACACACCTGTCAGGGGCCCAAGAAGTGACTACAAGGACTTGTGGGCCCCTTGGCCAGCAGACCCCACCCCCCCCCCCCCCCCCCCCGTAGGCTACCAATGAAGGTGTCAAGGTCCTGACAGATCCAGCAGAAAGGGGAGCAGGGCTCACCTGTGTAGGCCATGACAGTGACCAGCAGGGCCAGGGCAGGCACCCTGTAGACACGAAGGCTGTGCTGCAGGCGGAGGAGGCTCAGATGGAAAAAGAAGGTGCAGGCCCCCTCCACCAGTGCGCCCTGCAACACGGACGTGTGCAGGGTTGAGCTGCAGTGCACAGACATGAGGCTCTGCAGCATATGTAGTTCACTGAGCTCCCAGGTCCAGCAGCGCTGGGTCAGGGCACAGGCAGCCTGTGCGCCCAGCACCTGGGCCACCACTTTCAGCAGAGTGCTGGGCAGCGATGCCTCCGCCATGAGGAACTCCTGTAAGGCCACAGTGGGGTTGGCGGAGGCCCCATCAAAGGTGACCCCATGCACCACGAAGAGCAGGAAGACCAGTGTGAGCAACAGGTCGGGCCCGAAACCCCCGGCCCAGGGGCCAAGTTCCACCAACACTCGCAGCTCTAGGCAGCAGGCTGCCAGCTGGGCTGCGCCCAATGCCTCCCGGGAAAAACTGACATAGGTACCCGCTGGGAGCAGGGCTTTAGATGCCCTCCTCGCCACCTCACAGAGGGTGCAGGTGGCAAAAAAGAAAGAGAGGGAGACATTCAGACTGGCCATCACTCTGGGATCGGCAAGAAGCCTGCTGAGCAAGGACCTGGTGACGTGTGGGAGACCGGTTGGCCCCACAGCCCAAGGACAGAGGAGCTGTGGGAACACCACACCTGTGACCCTCACAACTGACACCACTGCTCACAATGCCAGGTGCTGCAAGGAACACCCACAAAGGACCGGCCCCTCTTAGAGTCCTCCCTGGACTGAGTCACCTGCTCCCACTTCTCTCTCTCACCAGCAGGGGGCACTGGAGACAGGTCACTCTCTTCAAAGGCACCATGAGCACTGTAACTGACACCGAGGCCTGGCACCAGGACCACAATACCTCTTCCCAACGTCTGCCCTGCCCTCATATGGTCCCTCATCTTCCTGCAATTGTACTGTGTCCCCTCCTGGGAAGGACCACCAGAGATGTGAGCACACTGGCAGGCGATGGTCGGGTCGAATGACCATCATACCAGCTGCAAACCAATGGCTCATCACAAATCAGGGAAATGGGGCACCATTGCTGCTGTGCCAACCTGCCCTCCACCCCGGGTCTGACTAATGTGCTCTCGGACAGACTCCATATGTGACCGGGGTGCTGGTGGCCCTGAATGGAAGCATTATTTTGCTACTCTATCAGCTGCGTTTGTACAATTACCTTGACTCCTGGATTCCTATTTCTCAGGCAGTCCCGATCGTCAGCTCTGGATGATGCACAGCCTGTCACCTCAGGACTTCCATCAGTTCTGCCGTCTCGCTGTCTTCACACGCTAGTTGCAGCTCCTTTTGCACCAGAGCCAATTAGACACTCAACAACCACTGTCACCAGCAACATGGAAATGATGGAGTTTCTTACCAGTAGACAATCAGGATCCAGCTCGTAAGGCCAGATGCTCCGGGTCAGTGGGCTACGGGAGCCTGGTGTTCTGAACATACAGCAGAACCAGACACTGGGAAGGTCACCGCAAGGGAGTCAGCAAAAAGAGGGGGGATGAAACCTGTGGACACCGTAACCACAAATCCTTGCTCCTTTAAGATAGTTCAAGGGGGACGGTTCTTCAGGCCCTCCAAGCAGCACCGCCATCAGGGCAGAACTTTACAACCCAAGCTATTTCCTTGGGAAACGCTCCAGACTCTGGTGTCATCATCATTTGAGCACCAACAGGGAGGGGGTCAAGGGACGTGTCAGTTAGCAGACCCACCCCCACCAGCTGCAAAATCTCCAAGTTCAGAATGCACAGGCCCAGGCGTTCCCTTTGCCTCCAATGTGAGCGATTTACTTGGAGTAGCATAGCAGCAGCATCAGTATCACTCAGACACCCACTGTCTCAGCTGCCTCCATTCCTGCTGCATAGTCAGTGCGAACGCTGCTCAACTCTCCTCCATGCCAAGCTTCCGGGGGATTCACCAATGGGTACTTCGGGGAACCAGAACCATCTCCCAGCCTGCCACTGGCTATCAAAAATGCTCCAGTTGATGAGGAGCTCACCTTGACCTCCATAGATCAGGTGGGGAAAGGACATATTCTGAGACATGGGGTGGAGAAGAGAACAGACCTGAGACCTATCCCCAAGTTAGTCAGAGGACCCAGTGGGACATGCGTATCTGTCCCCACTGTAAAGACAGCAAAGAGAAGGACTCTGGAGATCTGAGCATAAAAACAAACTGCATATTTGTCACATTGGGGTGTGGCAAAGAATATGGCAAGACCTCCTACCTCTGGGCCTGTGGAGCTGGCTTGTAGAGAAAAGACATTGCCATTGGCCATGCTAGAGGAACAGCAAGTTGCAACTGAAGTTCCAGGTGTCAGTCCACCAGAAAGGAATCCTCTGATGGATCCATCTGGTTTAGGCAAGGCCACGGGACTGCAGACCCTAGAAGATCTTTTGCTTCTGCTGTGCCTTACATGTTTGCTGTGGCTCCCTTTCTCTGGTATCTGCCATGGTGTGAGTGGATGTGGGGAGATCTCCACTGCATGTCACATGTGTTCATCTCTTGGAGACATCCTGTTCTACTGGGCAGTTTTTTTTTTTTTTTTTTGTTTTTTTTGGTTTTTTGAGACAGGGTTTCCCTGTGGCTTTGGAGGCTGTCCTGGAACTAGCTCTTGTAGACCAGGCTGATCTTGCACTCAGAGATCCGCCTGCCTCTGCCTCCCAAGTGCTGGGATTAAAGGTGTCCGCCACCACTGCCCGGCTCTACTGGGCATTTTTACCTGTGGATTGTCAAGAAGATGATCCCTCTCTAGGCTATATGGTCTAGTTTGATGAGCTTATACAGAGCTTTGATGAATAAAAATAAATACAAGGATATGTTTCACAGCCAGGGTCTGTGAATTTCACTTAAGGAGCTGCATAGATTGTAGCTCAAGTTAAATGATTAAGACACAATTGAGTCCCAGTGGCCCAGATAGTTTAAATTCTTTTAACCTTAGTGTCAGTTGTGTTCACAGATCTCAGAGTGCGGCACAGCTCAAACAAAGCTTTGGAAATAACAAAGTTAGATCAAGATGTTTTTATTAGATAACTTAGAGGTAAAGGACCCAAAAGACAATCTAAAGTTTTAAAAAGGCACACAGTTGAGTGAGGAACTCTTTAAGGTCAGGGAACAGGAACAAAGCAGCCCAATTATTACTGGCTGACATACTCTCCAGTTTGGTTTGGTTGATGACCAAAGGTTATGATTAATTTCTTATACCCATTTCTTCCCTCAATCTCCTGAAATGTGTGTGTGTGTGTGTGTGTGTGTGTGTGTGCGTGTGTGTGTGTGTGTGTGTGTGTGAATGTATACATACCCTAAAGATTTAAGGTAGAGCTGACTGATTCTTTTTCATTTTTAAAAGCTTAGGTTTGTGATTCCTTTAAGATTACCTTTCAAGATGAGTAATGAAATAATTGGCCCTTTCTTTATCATGCATCCTGCCAGTGAAAGACCTGACAAGAACACCTTGCTTGCCCACATGGTTAATCTATAACAAGTTGCTTGGGTATGAATGTATGTGGGTTCATTCATTTTTCACCTGTAATACACAAATGTTTAATCATGTAAGGGAGATGAAAAACCTGTTTTTACCTGTAATCATTCACTTGAGAAATGGGATGCAACCATTTTGACTCTTGTACTGCCTGGAAGATTCTGTTGGGGAATAAAAGCTGTGAAAAACATGAGAGGACAGACAGAATAAAGAGGGGGAATAAAGAAGGAAACCATCAGGAGAGTTTGCGGGTGCCTTTTCCCTACTCCCCTCAGATAGAAAAGTCTAGCCTCGATGACTCAGTGGATTCCTATCAAAGCCCTGTGCTGCTGGAGACAGCCCCAACCACAACAGCTGTAAGATATGTCTGTGTGTTTCTGGTCATGCTGTGGGAAGCATTTGGCCCATTCAGATGAGCTGCACACACACACACACACACACACACACACACACACACGTGAGAAAAAATTTGCCTGCTCTGAGTGCCCTAAGAGCATCATGAAGAATGGGTGGTCATTTGTCAAAGCATGTCAAGGCCCACTGGGTTAAGAAGGGAGGCCCTGCTGTATCCCTGGGTAGAGGAACCTTGCCTCTGGACAATGAGGCAAGTTCTGAAGGCTGCAATAATGCCACCACTTTTAGCTTTTATTACCACCAGTATGGAGGCCATCTGTCCTGAAGGGATTACCCCTATTACCAACAGTGGCAGCAATATCATGCCAGTGGGAGATTTGTAGTCCACTAATACCAGTGGCAAGGATTTCTGACATTAAACATCTGGGGTTAGAGATATATGAGCCAGTTATCCATCAACTATCAGGTGCAAGGTAGCATGGATGCAAGAGGCATGCAGAAGAGAGAGCCACGAGGATTAAAGTGCACAGAGGTGGGAAGAACTGGAAAAGGGCGAGAGAGCAGGTGAAACTGTGGCATCCATCTGTGTCACCTCTGCCTCCTTGAAAGTGGAAAATGCTAGTGAAAATTCTGTTGATGTCACCCTTCAGGGAAAACATCTTTTTTAAAAAAAGATTTTATTATTAGGTGCAAGGTAGCATGGATGCAAGAGGCATGCAGAAGAGAGACCAGAAGGATAGTTGTGAGCCACCATGTGGTTGCTGGGAATTGAACTCAGGACCTCTGGAAGAACAGTCAGTGCTCTTAACCTCTGAGCCATCTCTCCAGCCCCAGGGAAAACATCTTAGTGCACCTCTCTCTCTCTCTCTCTCTCTCTCTCTTCTCTCTCTCCCTCCCTCCCTCCCTCCCTCCCTCCCTCCCTCTCCCTCTGTGAGAGAACTGGTGAGTAGGAACTATTTTGGATTGCATTTCATTCTCCTTCATAGTCCTCCGTGAACCACTCCAATCTGTAGTCCAAACTCTGGCATCTCCCTGGAACAATTGAGGCTCACCACACATATTGGCCTCCTTCACCTGCTGCCAGGCTTGGCCACTGTGCCCCTCCCTTCTCATCCTCCCTCTCTTGTCCCCTCCCTGGTGAAGGTCAGAGGACTCCAAGACTCCTCAGTTCAGACCCTCCAGAGACCAGAGACCTGCCCACACCACATGCTGTCAACACCGTCTGACCACGGAAGAGTGTCTGTCATGTCCTCTTCCAGAGAGCCTGTTCTTTAGGAAGCCCCCTGTTGAATTCTAGAGCCATTTTCTCTTTTAATTTTATGGCTGTCGGTCAATCTGACAGATAATTCCAGGACAACAATCTGTATTCAGGCATGTTGGGTAATGTAGACATGACTCTTAGAAATTGTTATTCTATTTTGAAGGGAGGGTAATTACATCATTTTGTGGTTGCTAATAAGTAACAGGAAGCCCAAGGAGAACTTTGTTTTGTCTTCTAAAATTGTTTTACTGTTTCTCTGCCCCCCACCCTGTCTAAGCAGTTATGAAGGCTCTCAATGGGGCCCTGAAGGATGACTTTATAGTAGTGACTGACGAATATTCATTATATTAACATGGATCGCTTTGTATTTTGAGAGTGGATCTCATATGATCCAGGGTGGCCTTGAACTCACATTGTTGATGGTGATCTCAACTG